TTTGTTTTGTTTTTTCTTTCTTTCTTTAATGAAACTGCATCTTCAAAGCATGTCTATTCTTCGGCTATAGTTTTGGGAGGCTGATCACATCGTTGCCGTAGTTGAAGGAGGAGGGGAATGTGGCATGGAGAACTTTCGAACACTGTGCGTACCTTGTCACAAGAAAGTCACTAGAAAACTACTACAACGTCTGAGAACAAAACGACAAAGACTAGATGTTACTGGGTCTCAAACTATATCGACTTTCCTAAAGTCAAAGAGCTGATATTGGTGTTTTATAACTGGTACCTAGTTCCTTCCCTTCACCTTGAGCCAACAGACAAACAGGATGCGCGAGAACCTGGAACCAAGTTAGTATCTTGTCATAGCTTTTTAATGAAAATGTTTCCCTTTTCGTTCTCTAACTCTGAGGCAAGTGACAGGCAGGATTTTTGAGAGCCTGAGACCGAGGTAGTGTCTTGTCTTTGCTTCATTCATGGCTAACGCAAATCTGTCTATATCTTGTTCTTGTACAAGATAAAACGACTTAAGAAAATGAATATTACTGATTGACCGAACGAAACTGTTTCCCAGCACCTTCTCTTCACTGTGAGACCAGAAGTAAGTGGACTGGAAGTGAGAGAGCCTGGGACCGAGGTAGTGTCTTGTCTTTGCTTCATTCATGGCTAACGCAAAACTGCCTATATCTTGTTCTCGTACAAGATAAAACGACGTAAAAAACTGAATGTTACTGATTGACCGAACGATAATGTTTCCCAGTTCATTCTACTCACTCTGAGACCAGTGATAAACGAGAAGGGACAGACGCTGGAACCGAGGTAGTGTCTTCTTTTGGACAAGATGAAACGAGGTCAAACTAAAATACTTCTTATAGAAACTTCCTAAAGAAACAGTTAAGGTTTCATAGTGAATTTATGTTAACGTTGATTGCAATTGTTCTGAAAACTGAGGTTTTTAGTACCTATGAAGAGACTAGGTGCCTAAGATCATTTCTGTGTTTTTTAAACATGGTATGGATGGTTGTGCTTCGGAGCGCGAAATTTGCGGTTTATTAAAAGAAAGAAGAAGGACGTGCATAGACTGGAGTTCAGTTTCTGAATCGAAGTCCGGGCTTCCCTTTCTCCGTAGCTGATATATAAGAGGAGAAGGAGCTGAGCCCACCAAATGACTCCTTTGTTCCAGGCCCCTCACTACCAGCAACAGAGGTTAGGCATGGAAGATAATTTGCGCTTTGGAATTTAAATGAACTGATCATGAATTTTAGACAAAGAGTATTTCACAGTTAAGTAAAGTATTCCTGGTTAAACGAGAGACTTAATACCAATAATCTTAATAACAATAGTCCAGTTTCGAATCCAAAATTACCGCTGTGTTTCTTGATTACAGACTCATTTACACAGGGTTAGCCTCGTATCAGTCTTTCATTTTCACAAATAACAACGGTAAATTAAAGAATGCACAACTTCAACAATACAAACACTTTGAAACTCGATGGACCTTGACTGGAATACGTGAATATTCTGCACAAAGCCGAGGCTAACCCTGTGTATATGAGTCTGTGATAAAGAAACACAGCGGTAATTTTGATTCGCAACCAGTTTATACGGACGGTTACGGTTAAAATATTTTATTATTATTAATATATTGAAAATATATTGATATATTGAAATTATTTTATGAAATGATATTATATTTAATAAGTAACAAAGGAGAATATACTATGAAATATAAAGAAAATATTTTCGTATAATTGAATATGATTATAAAATTATATCTGCAAAATAAAAATGTTTAGCTTTTATGCCTGCATCGACGACTGTTTGTATTTAGTCATTCGTTTTTATTTATTTATTTTTGTTTTTTTTGCTTTTTGTTTTTTGTTTTTTTGTTTTTTGTTTTGTTTTTTTGTGTGTTTTTGTTTTTTGTTTTGTTTTTTTGTGTGTTTTTGTTTGTTTGTTTGTTCGTTTGTTTCCTTTATTTTTATTGGTCAGTGAAGGACTGCTTGGCAAAGCCCGAGAAAACCGCACGTAACTTGACTCTCTTTTTTTCTTGTTCATCGATATTTTCTTGCTGTCTGGATGGTTATTGAGTAGTTTTCGTATGACTGTGTTCGTGCAGTGAAGTTTTCACCATCATACTGTGTACAACGCTACCATGTTGCACAGAATGAAGCGCGTGGTTATTTTTTTAAATACTCAAGCCTTGGTAGAATAATAGAAAGTCAAATCACAGGGAAGGTGCATTTTAGTACCATGATTAACAACGAATCTTTTCTCAATAACCACAAAATTAATACCATTTTTAACTTAATGCCGCGTTGCGCGTCAGGTCCTTTATTGATGTAATAATATTCCTAATGAGATTTCCTTTGTCAGGAAGATTTTTTTCTCGGGGAAGTCATAATTGTTAATTCTAAATAAAAAAACAAATAGCGCAAAATTCAATATACTCACGTCATTTCCGACTGACATTTCTTTCAAACTAGATCTGAAATATTTTCACTTGTTTATATCGTACACTATTTTGTTCATATATATGAATGTTTAGCTTACATACTTTGTTTTCCTTTACATATATGGCTCTGGTTTTCCTTGTATTTTGTTGAATATTTGTTTTGATCTCGTTTCGTGACAAAATTAGATTAATTTTTTTCATGTTTGCCTCAGGATAATAAGACAGACAGTCTACCAATCATACCAATGGCTAACTTAATTGATTGAAGTGTTAGAGTCTTGAGGTTCCTAAACATAGGATCATTGCCAATGCTGTTGGCTTTAATTTTTAGCATTTCCAAAGATATTAAGAAATCGAATTTGCCGCTAGAAAATCAACGCTTGCGAGGATTATTCGTCAATGCATATAGAAAAACTGTTTTGAATAGATCTCTGTACAGCTTCATCAAGTGTTAAAAAGGACACGTGACTTGTGCTCTTGGCGAGCTGCTTGAGCCCTCGTTCCTTTTGGTCTCCGTCGAAGAAACCCGGCGTAACTACCTTTTTTGGTTGCGGTGAAATCCTTTTGGTAACTTTCGATCGTTATTTTAGCCAATCAGAAAACAGTAGCCGGCAGTTTGATTGACAAGAAGCGTTATCAACTTTTTCATGGCGGATACCAAAAGGAATGTGGGCTCAAAGTACGATTCTGAATTTGAAAATGATTTATGTAATGAAAAACAACTGCACAGCATTCAAAAACGTCGGAGATAGTGTCTTAGAATGCTAACAAATTTGTTCAATCGAACATTCTTTAAATTACCAAAAATTCATCATTTCTCTCCGCACAAAGCAAATTATCTTGAAAACTCCTGCGATTATGAGTTCTGGATTATAAATACAATATGTTGCTAGACCACCATAGAGTAACTCTTTCGTATCAACGGTCTCCCGTCTCTTGCCCTCGGTACTATTTTTCTAGGTGATAAATCGCTTAAGTTAGCTGCAACGTCTCCTCCWCCTGCGATTATGAGTTCTGGATTATAAATACAATATGTTGCTAGACCACCATAGAGTAACTCTTTCGTATCAACGGTCTCCCGTCTCTTGCCCTCGGTACTATTTTTCTAGGTGATAAATCGCTTAAGTTAGCTGCAACGTCTCCTCCGTTTTGTTCCATTTCTTCTAGCATTGCGGTATTTTCGTCTTTGATGCGTTGTATCGTCGTCCTTAGCTGAATAAATTGACGTGTAAGAAATTTGTCTTGATGACGCATGTCGGTCTAAAAATAAAAAAAAGAGGAAAAAATTGTAAAACTTGAGTGGGACGTTCCCTGCATTTAGCTTGTCGATGGTGGCGTTTTTTTGTTTTGTTTTGTTTTGTTTTGTTTTTTTGTTTTTTGTTTTTTGTTTTTTTCATTTTAGACCACGTGTCATTCCCTAAACATTAAGATACTTTGTGACCCAATGGGGTGGATTGGGTCGCTAGCCTTTCTTCTTTTGAGTTTTAACAACAAAAGAAAGAATATTACAAAATATAAAGAGAAAGTTGGCTTTCTAGGGTCTCCCACCCCACCTCCTGAAAACATTTCTATGACATCATATGGTATCCAAGCTTAAGCCCGACGAATGTTTTCCCCCACTCTTTTACTAAATCAACTTTATTCAAAGGACTCGTATCTTATGAGACCGCAAAAAATGACAGCCATACTCAATTAGAACAGAGATGCGCCGCATGCAAAGGTATCGATATTTATTGTAGTGACTGTCAAGTGTCATCCTCTCGAAATAGAGACGTCATTTCCAATCTCGTATTTAGTTAGCTTACATAGCCAAATATGGAAATAAATTTGAAACAGCGATTTCAAAGACTGTACACTCGCATTTTAGAAGTCTCCATATTCATTCCTCAAAAACAGCTTGCAGTAATGATATACAAAAAATACATTTTTATGGCAAGAAGTTTGTACTTCAAAAAATGATGGGATACTTCGAAAAAGAACAACAGAAAATGGACTAAAGAAAGCAGTGTAATTGGTACAATTCTTATCTTTCAAATTTTAGTCCTCGGCGCTAGTAGACGCTGGTCCTACAAAACTATCGATCACCATCAGTTGGGCGATCACGCCTTATTTATAAACGGCTACCTTTTTTCCCGCGCAATTGTCTACTATAATAATGTGAGTTTATTTCTTTACATGAGCTACATTTAATAAAGACTTAACTGCGCTAAAGCCTTGTTAAGCCCTTTTTAATCACAGCAGTTTAAACTTTAAAAAGCGAGCGACATTAGAAAAGAGCATTTTTGACAACAGAACAATCCTTTGCCTGACGAGCTGAGCGGATGACGTTCAACCAATTCATCTTTTTTGAGGTCAAAAAATACTTCTGTCTAGGTGCTTCAGATTTGAGCAAACACACAAAGCTTGTGTCATTGTGGAGTCTGTCAAAGAAGATATTGGTCGATTGAGTGGTTACAATATTCCTGTTGCCATACAACGATTTATCAAGCACATTAGCGCTAGCTAAGACGGCTTTGCATTGCATGACTTGCCTTAAGCGATACTTTTACTATTATTGTTAAAAATATTATATTATGTCTAGACCTTTAAAGGCTTCTCTATTCAAATATTGTAGTTTGGTAGAGTATTTCAACGTAGGCTCTTCAATTAGCCAACACAATGTAATGAATTCCGCCAAAAAAAAAACATATCTCCGCTCTAATTTTCCTTCAAACGCGTTGACAGTTTTTACAATACTGCCCTACGCGTTCGATGGCTTCAGCATTCAAAACACGAACATCAGAGTATTCAATATAGAAATCTTATTACTCTATTTACATTGAACTTTAATTCTCCTGAGTCGGGGGCGGAAATTCAGAAAGAAATGCTTTGAAAAAAACCTGTTTTATACAGTAGTTATGGGATCGATAACATGAATAATTGCCAATGGTTTTCAATTGAAAACCATACCGGTGGAACCTCAAAGGCAGAGACTTGTAAATCAATGGTTTTCCTTTATTCCTCGCCTCGATCTTTCATTTTTCAAAATTTGCACCTCGTCTTAAGAAAAAGCAGCATGTAATCCTGTAATATTTTGAGATAACCGAGATAAACTTGTTGACAAAATGCACAGACGATTTTAAGTACAATTTCTCTCCAAAGTAATTAAGCTTTGCACACTATATTATCGTCTGTAGTGATAGAAACACGAAAATATGAAACGTGAATTAGAAATCGTCCAGTCTTTCAATTTTTTTCAAAATTCATTGTGTTCCTGTGACTCGGTTAATGCTTTTAATTTTGAAATTAGATTCATTCGGATTGAAAAAGAATTCGTTTTTCACTAAAACCAAAAGCAGAAACCATATTGCTATAGAAAGAGCGCTCTGTTATGAGTAGCCAGCTGTCAGTTCATTGAAAATATTCTTTTCAAATAAAAACAAACAGTTCTAGCCTGACGCCGAATTAAATTTTAAATTCAGTCTTCTCGGAAAATCGTGTTTGAGGTAAATAAAATTCGTATACATCCAGGAAGGTCCTACAGGGAATGGTTTGTTTGTCACAAAAACGTTTGCCAGCATGTTCACTGCCTCTATACACGAGGTCATAAATATGAATGAAAGCGAAGAAGTATTCGAAAAAATGAATTTATCATTACAGCGTTCTCTTTAAACGAGAAAACTATTAAAACTATAGCTATAGTAACTATGGAAAACGTTACTATGAACCTGAATTTTATATTTTTAGTGTGTAGAACAAGGCTCAACAGTAGCTCTACCTAAAGTAATTCCCCTACACGTTTTTCCTCGTTTTTCAATCTCTTACCAGTTCTTTTCGTATCCAAACAAGAGCAGATTCCAGCCTGGCCTCTCGTTCTTCAGTCGTCCCCTCAGAGTTTATGACCGGTGCATTTTTGACTTTGTATTGGTTTATTATATCATCATTGTTCAGTCTGACTGGATTTCTCCTTACTCCATTCCAAGTGAAGGTTTGTAGTGGGAACGAATGTCTCTTTACAAGCCCTACGCCGTTCATTTTACTATATGCCTGTAAATAACACCAAAGGATCTGGCACCTTAATGACTATATATATATACTAGTATATATTCTCCAAAACGAAAGTCGACCCTAACGCGACCACTATATGAGAGCTGACTGAGAATCTTGGATCGATTTTTCTATGCTAAGCTTGGGATTTTCCCGGCTAAGCAGTTCCGATGAATAATTCGGTATGGAGGCGAGCACAAGGCACAAGAATATGCTGGTTTGAATTGAATCAAAGGATCAAGAGATTTACATACAAACTTTGAGTATACAAATATTTTGACGACCCGTGATAGGCCAAGACCATCAATACGGGCATTCGTGTTGATAGCATCTTGTTATCTGGATTATTGATCAACTACTCAATTCCCCTAAACTTCGTTTTCGTCCATAAGTTATTTTCAAATACTTCAGTAATGCATAGGTAAGAGGAATCTCGTATTTAATCAACGTAATCAAAACCTTGATGGACGTGGTGCGGTAAATATTATGTTTATTAAACAAGATTTGAGTGCAAATCACTCTGTTGAGCCAGTCCTAAGTAGCCTATCAGAAGATCTTCCGCTTGACTCGTACGTTTCTTTACATTGCATTAAGATTTTGTCACAATGGACAGTGACCACATAAAACAGTTTGACAAGATTTCCAACATCTGTCATCGAGAATGATTTTTGGATTAGCTCACCACAGACAGACTAAACATGACTGTGAATGAAAATTGTTGGACCTGCCAATTGTTTTGGTCAACACAGTTGGTGGACAACGCGTACGTGCGCCTTAAAGTAAACAGCAAGCAAGAAAAGAAGCAAAAACAACGCGCAAAACCCTATTAACCTGCTTGATGCACCTGTTGGAACCACGCCCCACACAGGAACCCCAATGCAAGTATCTTTGCTTTCCGTATCTTAAACGAAGAAAACTTCAAACATAAATTTGAAAAACGCTGTACATCATTGCAAGCTTTGATYGTAGTCAAACATTAGCATGTCAGGAAGCCACTGCACGTTAATCAAACGCGCATGCGTTACCTCGTGTTTGAGATACCTCGTGTTATCGAACCCTGGTTTTCCGATATGGTTTTTTAGTCTTCGTTTTTTCTTTTTTTCCTTTCTCTCTCTCTCTCTCTCTCTCTCTTTTTTTTTTTTTTTTTTTTTTTTTTTTTTTTTTCTTTTCTTTTCTTTTGTTTTTTTTTAATTGTTGTCTTAATCAGGACCATACTTCCAGACATCGAATGCTGAATCATCGTGTAGACTTACAGCTACGTTGGAGATTTCGGCCCCAACACCACAAAAAATATGAGTGAAAAGCCCTTATATATACCTTATTAATTCCACTTTTTTCGCGACACTTTATTTTTTGTCGATTTCGTATCGGAAAACTGAACCCGAGTTACTTAATTTTAGCGATTTCTTTCGTAAATCAATACCTATTTCAAAAGTACCTTCGCTGTGATTAAAAGCAAGAGGAAAAAACAGATATTAAAAACTTCCAGTTTAGACAAGTTCAAGCCATTGGTTAAACTAAATTATACAGAACCTGTGAATGGAAAATTTGACGCGACTGTACAAGCGAAATTGTCGAGGAAATTTGTACAGGACTTTGTAAATAAATCGGCATCACAGGACTCTGCTGATGAAGAGGAAGACGAAGAGATTGAGTAAAGTAGTGTCTAGAGATATAATTAAACGGCTCTATTAAACTAAAAGCCTTTATGTGTGGTGACATATCTGCGCATTCATATTTTCGGAACACTACCGTTTTTGTTTTGTTTTGTTTTGTTTTGTTTTGTTTTGTTTTGTTTTTTTTTTTTTTTTTTTTTTTTGTTTTTTTTTGCGACTTCACGGTTTTAGCAATCATTCGTAAGCCCACTTTGTTCTTTTAAAAAAAGATAAATAGATATACGGTGGAAGTCATATTAAAATTTAAGAAAATTTCTTTCGTGACATATCTTTTGACTTGTCAAAAATCGATGGATTTTTCGTTTTTCTAAGTAAGCTGCTCCAAATAACCAGCATTTCTTGATTCCATTCCAGATTTTCCACGCATGCGCAGTGCTTCCACGACGTGGATTCATTCAATACTCAGCGGCCGGTAGTCTTGATCGTGTCTGATCCCGGTGTCTGAGTGAGTTTTTAAGGATTCTTTCACCAAATCCTCGCTTAAAAATGGCTCCACCGATCCCTCAGCGTGGTACAGTATTCAAAACAGATCCAGGATCCGATGCTAAAGGAAAGGCAGAGTTGGAAGAAATGGTTAAAAAAGCCGAATCTTGTGAGCGAGGTGTTCGTGCTATCTTGTTAGGGCCTCCTGGGTCAGGCAAAGGAACACAGGTAGATATCTCAAAATATAAATAAAACCTTTCTTATAACCGTTCTCCTGTCACCTACTCTTTCTTTAAACCATAAACCTTGTGTTTGATCCTGTTTTATTCAGTTATTCAAACCCCAGCTTTCGTAAACATATTTTTTCATGTCTTTACAAAATAATTGACCTTTGCTCGATTTTGTGGACTCAGAGTCAAACCTTTTTATATTGTTTTCCACGAAAATATAAACTCGATCTGTTTCTTATTTTGCACCTTACAGGCACCGAAACTTGCCGAGAGATACTGTGTTTGTCATCTGGCTACAGGTAAAGTAAATACAACTGTTTAAAAGAGAATCGTGGGGAATTAATGTTTAGAAATTTTGGGTATGCAGGATAGAAAGCTATAAGAGAGAGTGATTCAGCTGTGAGTTAACTTGGCTTCCTGTAAAATAAGTTTGTCAGTTGTAAACTGCTTATGCTAATGCATAGGAGAGAACAATTGTATTTGCATTGTGAGCATCAATCAAAGTAATAAGTTACAGAACAACTCAGCGACATGCAGTTGTGCCTGTACAACATCTAGTAGAGTTTCAGGAATGTCAGGCAACCAATCTTTCACACCCCCTCCCCCTCAGGATATCCTCATTCTGTTGTAGGATATAGCTGTGATTTAAAGCGCAGTTTGATTTGTTGGTACAAGGGTGCATCAGCTGATTTTATACTTGTCTGCTCATGAAAGCCAACATCAAATTGCTGGGTTTCAATCACTGATAAAAGGCTTTGAATCTCATCCTCTGCTCTCCCTCTGCCCCAAATGGTGGTCAGACACTGGCCACCATTTGCCGTCATGCAGTTCTATTGAAAACTTGCGATTCAGCTGATAAACATTTCATATAAAGAAATGACATCCCATAAGGCACAGTTTTCCAAGAAAATACAAGTAGTGACAAATGAGATATTCCATGCAGTGCCATGAGAAATCATTGCATAAATATTTATCCTATGACATTTGAAATACACCTAGGACTGCAATACCTGATATGAAAAACACTGAAATTATACTGCTGCATATGCGACAGCTTTCCTGCATTCTGATTGGCTACAGTATATTTTCAATGCTGTTTGATAAAAAGTCATGGAATCTTCTCTATAACTAACTTGGCCTGACTTGATGAGCTCTTTAATTGGTTCATTCCCCAGGGGGGGTACTCTTGCCTGTTTAGGGTAGGGATGTGCCGCTGAGCTCTCTGAACCCTGACCCTGTTCCAGAGTAAAAATCGCTGAAAACCCTGTTCCAGAGAGGAGAGAGTGTGATTTCATATACCATGTTCTAGAGCGAGTGTGATTTTATATACCCTGTTCCAGAGTAGAATCRCTGAAAACCATACCCTGTTTGGCGGCACGTACCTATATAGCAAATATAGGGGAGTACCCCCCCCCCTGGGGTTCATTCAAATATGTTTACGCTTTGAATTTGGGGCATTTTTTCTCTTTTGTACTTTAGGTGACATGTTGAGGGCTGTCGTTGCTTCTGGTTCAGCTCTTGGAAAGAAAGTTAAAGCAGTCATGGACTCAGGAGCGGTAACCTATCAACCTAAAAATATACGAATATAATAGACAACCATAGAATAGAGCACGCTTCAGTTTAAAGTTATTGGAAAAGCCAACAGACAACAAACCCCACTAAAGAGTGATAGAATTCATGCTGGGCTGGGAGGCAACTGAAATCAGCTGAAATAACTTTTTTTTTTAATTCCAATGTTAATAGCCAAAAAAGGTGTTCACAGGCTAGTATTTATAAGCCAGAAAATGGGAGCTCAGACACAAACCTTTTATGAATGTTAGCAAAACATAAATTTCTACAACTCCCCCCTCTGATGGTTAAGCAAGGTTTGTCCTTTTATCTAATAAGAGGACCACCACACTCAACAATTATTGTTAGATATTTTTCATGCCGTTCACAACTCCTATAATTTGTTTGTTTGTTTGTTCTGATTTGCTTGTTTGTTGTTCTAGCTTGTCAGTGATGACCTAGTTGTGGAGCTAATTGATGACAACCTCAACAAACCAGAATGTCAAAACGGTTGGCTCCTGGATGGTTTCCCAAGGACTGTCACTCAGGCTGAGAAGGTGAGTCCCCCCCACCCCACCCCACCCTTGCAAGAATCAACTTCCAATTAAATTGGTGAAAGAAGACCCAGTCTTTCGAACCACTGTTCAATTCCCATTACCATATTATTAAACTTGTTAGAAATCTTATACAAGCCACCATACTCACTTTCATATAAGATAGGCCAAACCACAGGAACCCCATCTCATTGATATCAATAGCCTCTTGATCAACCAAAAACCAACAAAGTCAATAAAACCATTAAATATTGAATGAACTATCGTTTCATGTAATTATAGCTTGATGGGCTCCTTGAAAAGAGGAAGAGTCTACTTGATGCAGTAGTGGAATTTTCCATCGAGGATTCTTTACTTGTTAAAAGAATCACAGGAAGGTATGTTCATTTGAGATTGAACAACATTGTATTTAGTTACTGAGAGATCCAGGGGACTGGACCCCACCCTCACCCGCCCCCCTTCACAACTCATTTTCCTTTTTTTTAACATAAGATATACAGTTTTACAGAGACTCTTTATGCTATGATATTTAAACCTTTTCTATTGAAAGTCATGACTATTATATCTTTTATACCAGTAGCAAGACATGCATATGTGCTACAACTTGTATAGTGTATGGATGACGTCAAAAATAACGTCACTTATTGAGGTTTTGTACAAAAATTAAATTCTAAATTCAAATTCATTTTGGTATCAAAAGCTTAAATTCATATTCAATTCGTATATTTTTAAGAGCGGCACATATCAACAAAAGGCAAGGGTTTAATTCTTTTTTCACATGTAGGTGATTAGAGAAACAGGTTGAATTTCCCAACCAATCAGTTCACTCAATTTTCTATAATCACCTGGGTAATGATACTTGGAAATACCTATCATTATTTAATATTATTAGACTTCTACACAAGCCTAGTGGCAGGACATACCATGATGAGTTTCACCCTCCAAAAGTTCATATGAAGGATGATGTAAGTTTTGGCATTGGTAGAGCAATAGACAAATATAGTATAGGGTGTGTGCAACCATGTAACTCAAAATCCCTTGAGATACAGTATAAATAACAATGAAACAGTGGCCATCTTGGTTGATATAACAAGAGAGGCCAATGAGGAATGCTTTGTTATTGTCAACCAACATGGTGGCTATGATGTAACATGCACCTGCTCTATAGAATGGTAATATAACCTTATCATAGGGATTTTCAAGATGGTAGAAAGGGAATTTGTTGTTGACAAACCTGGTCTGTAACACAAGTCCTAACTTACAACTGCTTTCATTGCATTGCATCTTATTCATTTGAATTTTGCATGTTGCATGTTGCATGTTGCTTACCGCGCTTGAAGTGTATCATATTTATGTAAATAATGTCAGCACAGAACAAATTATGCCAGAAAAATGTGCAAATGAAGATTAGGAAAATTCCATATTGTTGTGAGCTTTTGGTAATCAAACACGCACGGCCAAAGTGCATTTCGAGCTTGGTGTCTAACATGCAACAAAACCTTTACCAACCTTTTTAGAAAAAAGGCTCTATGCACCAGCAGTTATTATGGATGCATGCACATCACTTGTATGATTCTTAAAACAAAAGAATTTTTCATTGAGGGCTCAACTGTAAAAACAGCAATTGGAATATGCTGAGCAAGTTGAATAGCCATTGGCTGACAATCGATTGTCTAGCCTCGTGTTCACATGGAAACATAAAAACGTTTTCACATGTATGAGAGGCTAGTCAGTCGCTTGTCAGTGCACAACAATAGTTATTCTAATTGCTCGCCACCTTTTGATTTGGTGTGTACCATTATTCCTATGCATTTTCCTACTTTGTTCATTTATTCCTTTACTTCTCTTTCATTCAGTTGACTGGTGAGCCTCTAGAACGACGTTCAGATGATAACGAGACAACCCTTGTCAAACGTCTCCAGGCGTATCATGCACAGACTGCGCCTCTCGTAGACTATTACACTAGGCGTGGCATCCACTACAAGATAGACGCTTCCAAGCCTCCCAATCTAGTCACCGATCAAGTCCTGAAGGCTTTCGAAGCAGCTCATGCCCGCTTTGCTGGAAAAAGTACCTAGTTAGTTCGTTTGACACAAGAAATTGTTTCAATTGAATGTGGTGAATTAAATTTTGTTTTTACTTCTGAGATTTGTAGGTTGCAGTGTTTCATTCTGCCACAGGGATCCCAAAACTTTTGGTTTGTTCGCACGGCAGAAGTTTAAACCTTTAAAAAGGTCTAGACTGACAGTGCAACGTTGGCCGCGACAGAGTTTATTTTTCGAGGGATGTCGCACGTAGCATCTTTTTTCGTGTAACAAGACTATAAATTAAAGAAGCTAACTATTTATCTCATAATTCTGGTCAGTGGTACGCTAAAAACTCTCCCTAGTAGCTGAAAAATAAGTCAAGAAAAAAAAAGGTCAAGCCATTGCAAATTTGAAGTCGGGCTGTACGTAGGCTTGTTACGTGCAACGTGAATTTGTTACGTGCAACGTGGCGCGCAGACGTGTGTCCGCACATTGTGTCCGGGCTTGTTTTACCATCTTGTCAGTACGTCTTAGAATAAGGTTAAGACTGGTGTTTGAGTTTTTCACCTTATCCGGTCTTCATCCGGCGATACTTAAGTTCGAAAGTGCGCTTCTTTCAGCATTTGCCACAGGAATCCCACATTTACAGCAAAACAGGAATCCTCGAAGCCCAATAATAGGAACTCGAACTGGAAATCTGAGGAACCTGATATTCTGCCACAGGAATCCCGGCGCGATGGACCTTTTTTGACGGCGAACATGATGCATTGTGGTCTAGCTTCAGTACAAACATCTTTTATTCATCATGCCTTATATGGCGTTGTTCGTATCGAAGCTAGACCAGAACGGTATATTGGTTATGCAAGGAAAAGGCCTATTGTGGTAATGGTACCATAACAGGAATCAAACTAGGAGTCTGAAAGTCTCACCACAGGCGCCACGAACATCCCAACTGTTGTGTCTATAGACCCCCTTTGCGGTAGATCGTAATACATCACAATTTGGAGGACATAACAATAGGAATCCAATTCTCAGGAGATTGAAATTCTTTTGTTTTGTCCTCCAAATTGAGCTGATTTGACGTCACATGCAATGGGTCTATTGTGGCAGGAGTAGCCTGCGTAGCGGCCCTCTGGTAGGGAATTTTTGGGCGAGAGGAGAAGGGAGAGGGGGAGGGGAAAAGTCCCCTCTCATTTCTCCTCTCGCCCAAAAATTCCCTACCAGAGGGCCGCTACGCAGGCTATGACAGGAGTCTCTCTCGGATACCACAGGGAACCCACAAACAAGCATCATAAAACCATAGTATGCTAAGGTGCATCTCGCCATACTACATTACACTACATGACATTCATTACAATACGAAAACACCAAACCACATCATTTTCCATTAAACGCTTCACATCATTTTTCTCCAGTACACCTCAATATTTTCCTACAACATTAATCTCTATCATGGGGTCCAAAAAATTGATTTGCTTGACAACTGGAAGTTTTTTGAAGTGCCTAATTTCTTTCTTTTTTTTATTTGACCTCCCAGTTGGAATACGTTGTGATGCAAGGGGTCTATATACTGTAGTCCCCCCCCATAGTCCTGCTTATGTCTAGTAATGACGTCACACGCCTTGCCTGGGCACATCTCAATCATCGTATTTATTACACCTATCACGCGACGGCTTAGAACCTCGAGGATGTCACGTTGTCTATGTATGCAATAGTTCACTTGGATATTGTTACCATTACTGTACTCCACTCCATGTGTACTTTGTTTTGTTACACCCAACTCAGTGCATTGGTTCCTTTAATACTTTATGTTGCTGTGGTATGACAGTATTCGGAAAGGGATGGGCTATCTCAAAATTTCAAATTTTGGGTCATAGAAAGTCTTACCACAGGTAGCCCAAACTCGAATGTCGTGCCGAGAAGTACTAAAATGAGACTTATCGAACAAAAACCCTAGCTATAGTCCAAGTGACCAAGCTACCGAAGAGGTTCTAGACTCTGCAAGTTAAAAGTGAATGGTTTGATAGACATTCTCTCTCGATTAAGTAATCTTCAACGACATGCACGAGTGGCTGCCTTTCGTCATATGAAGTGTCTGACCGATGTGTAACCATTGACCGGAAGTGACCTTTTGTCCTGTGTTTGCATGACGTAACGGAAATCGATAGCAATATTAAAACGGTAGCCCTTCCATTCTTTTGTCATTATTGTTCTCGTATACACGCTCTCAATGCAGAGCTTTCGTAACTTTTAGGTTTGGATCGCTGAGGTAAATACAAGTTCACGGTTGATAATCCTAGACAAAGAAAACTAGACAAGCGTCGCTTGGAAACCGGTATCGAAGAAGTGAGGCAATCGACGGATCAGCGCTACGAAACCACTCGCGTCCGTTTCAGAACAAAAAAGTCCGTTTACCTATTACTTTATTTATTATCGAGTGTGCAGCACAACACGTTGCAGTTGCCAAGATTGAGGCGCTAATTATGGCAATACTGAACACTGACAAGAATATCCTGAAAGAAGGATATCTTTTTAAGCAAAGCAGACATGTATGGAAGCTTTGGAAGGCAAGGTATTTCGTACTACAGAATAATGGACTTATTTACTTTAAAAAGAAAAGTGATATTTGTACTGGTCGACCGTTGGGAGGATTGACTTTCAGAGACATTTCAATGCATATTGACGAGGTTGGCGATAAAAAGAGGAAATATTGCTTAAAGATACAAGCCGAGGGGAAAAACTACTGCCTCTTTTGCTTCTCCGAGGAGGAAAGAAACTCGTGGATGACAGCTATTTTGACTGCTGTTGCGTCGTATATGATGGCAGTTCGTGATGGTGCTACTGATGAAGAACTTCTTGGTTTAGCAGCAGTCCCAATGCCTCGATCAGTCTCCTGTGAAGCGCTCACAAGTAAATCCATCAAAACCGCTCCTCATCTTAGAAGTCGAGCAGCCTTCGGCAGCAGTGGAGACCTTGATCGAATCGTGCCTCTCAGACTAGCAAATAATAATGTCACGAACAAAAACAGCCAAGGTTTACCAGCGATGAGCAAACGAAAACTCAAAGCTTTTTCTATGTGGGAAAATGCTAAATGGAGAGACAGTTATATTAACTTTTCTGAAATATAAAACTAAAAGTGAGGATCTAAGACGATTTTAATATAAGTGCTAAATTGCTAAGTGGTTTGTGTCGACACGTTTTCAGTTAATAGAGCAAAAATATTCAAATAATATATTTAAAACAAATGTCAGTATGTACTAAACTTGGCCAACCGTTTGAATAATTTATTTCGACGAATTTAAAACCTGTTTTTTTTCGCTTTTTTGCTGATCCTGGTATTTTTGAAATTAATAGATTATTTAGTTTGGAATTAGTGAAGTCGTTGAGTGCTCGGTGCTTTTACTCAAGCCGCCCGTCGAAAGAAAAAGGACACTTTCTTTTTCTTATCTTTCGAAAGAGTGCTGACATAATTTTACATTCATTAACTTATGCTCGACAGCTGGAAGGATATAAAGTATATATGTATATATATAATAGAAATACAATAGAATGATATTAATAAAATATGTGTAATAAAGTTCAAAATTTTCCTTTTGGAGTGTATTAAGGATCTGTTTAATTTGGTGCACGTTTTATGGTTTAGTAAAGTGAAGCTTCAATTATTACTTTAAAATAATACGTTTTTATGACAGCTATGAATATTAAGGAACGCGGAAAAGAGTCAAATCCGGTGAAAACGCCAAGGAAGGAAAAGCGGGGATGACGAATGCTGTATATATATGACGACAAGCTGTTTTCTCGGAATTTCTAATGCTTCTAACGCAATAATAGAATATTTTTGGAGCTTTTTTTATCAAACAAAAATTGAAGAATGTATAGTCGAGTGCTAATGTGTTGACAAAAGTTTAATCCAAGTCGTCGAATGAGGATTTTTCAACTGGAAAATTACGGACTATTACTGATCCGCAGTTCAATACGCTGTGATGCACTTAAACTAAGAATGATCTTTGTAATATTATTTTCTCGACTCATCGAAGTTAAATTCCATATAAAAAAAGATAGAAATATGCAAATATTTGTATCGATTGTAAATATAACTATTTCAAATAAGATTTTGAAATCTCTATTTATAAATATTATGTGAAGCATAGCCGGAAGTATCTAAGTAGTTTGGGATTCCATAGTCAGTGTGAGGTCTTGCATGCATTCCAAATTTTTCGCAATAGCTAAAGTTACCGACTACGGAAGCAATGAAAATCAGCCTCAAAGTCTTTTATCTGATAGTTTATGAAAAAACGATTGTTATCAAAACGTTGGCGTGATGATGAAAGACACGATCCACAAATAAAAGGGATAGTTTTGGTCAACTGCTTATCACCCAAAGCTACAGCGGTTCTAAGTTATCGTTTTGGGACATGACCTGACTGGAGCTATAAGAAACTCTACACCTCGGATAAAGAACACTGTAAGCTAATGATCCAACTGATAAATCCGTACAGTACACAGTACATCCTATACGAATCATTCAATACTTTATTTCCCGTCAAGCGTTGACAAACCTGCAGCCGTGTCAAACTATCACTATCAAAATCCGCCTCTGAGCAACAGAGGGCAATGCATTGCATGCGGTTGCACCAAAAAATAGGTTTGGGGGGAAAATCAAATGTTTGGAACTTTTCTCCGTCAATTTGAAAACTGCGTGACTCGTGTTTGCCATCAGTACACTAGGATTTAGCATGAGTTGTACTAAAAAAATTGAACAAGGACATTACGACTCAATTTTCCGATTCAGTAGGTGTGACCGCACTTGCCAATCATTCCTATGCATGGTTTTAGAGTCAATCTTTCGTTTTAATCAGCAGCTAGTGTTGACACCAGTTGACACCGAAAACTCCGACAAAAAGAGCGCAAACTCCAGAGTTGAGAACCTAAAAACAAAAAGAGCTTGAACTTCAATGTAAGTTGGCTTCATTGCACTGGCACGAACTCTGAGGTTTTGCGGCTCAAACACAAAAAGAATAACTAGATCGATATTGATACAATACTTGAATTTATGAAGGTTTCTAGATTGATTAGTACTGCGAGTGATATTGAGCCGAGACCATCTAAAGTATTTTCTAAATCTGAAGTGCTCGCACTGTTTGTTAATTGTCCGGGCTGGAGAGTAGCTTATTGCTTTCGATAAATTCGGTCAAGTCCTGAATCCATAGTGCATAGAGGATAGTGCAAATATGTTGGTTGGTTTAGCATAAAAGAACATTTCGTTATTTAAATCTTCCAAATTGCCGCTATTTGACGTCATACATACTATGAAAAACTACTTGAACGCATGCACGGAGAACAAGGTCGAAAAGGAAAAATTTCCACAGACCAAATGCAGGCCACCATGCTCGCTGTATCTCTGTTAGTACAGCCCGTCTCAGTCGGTCTGTGGTGAAAATATGTCATTCATATCCGCTACCGTCTATATACTGCCGCAAGTGTCTATGGAAGCCAAAGCATAGCCCTTGGGGTTTAAGGGTTAACACTAAACCTAACCTTATAGTTAGATGGAATTCCGAAACCAAAACTGAACGCCGATGATGATTATCGGCTGCGGGAAGACCATATTATTGATGTGTCAGAAGAACCCAGTGATCATTGAATCCAACCCGTCTTTGAAGGTTCAAGATAATTCACTATTCGCGGCAAGCTTCAGTTTTGGCTTGGCTGTTTTATTATACAGTAGATGATTGGGCCAAAGAAGAGAATACCTTCGCGCGCTGAAAGTAAAGTAACAAAATGAAATAATTGGAAACTTTACGACCAAACCCAAAATGGATATTCCGATCGGTTGAGAGGCCGTGACCCCCTTGGAGCAGTTTTTCTATACTATAAATTAAATCTATAAAATTGATATTATTAATAAATAATAGTTAAATATCCATTATTTCCCATGAAAATATCACTTATAATATAGATCTCTCGTTTTAAAACTAATAAAATGCGCTTAATTTCGATATTATAGATATGTTAGTCTTATGCACACATGATAAATGTAGACCGGACTAGTGAAGCGTCAAGAACACGGTCAACAGGCCTGAGTATAGCCTGCGTTGAATCCGGAATTTTTTTCGTAAAATTCGTCATACTTAACGCCGAAAATTCCGGATGCTACCCATACTAGCCTGAGTAACGCAAAAATATTTCTGGTTAAAATATTTTCCCGTCGATACGACACGTGTCTTTGATCTTCCAAAAGTTCTACAAACAATTACTTATGAGAGTATTTTTATCTTAATGGTTGGCCCCGGTATTTCCCTTTTCCTTTCTTAATCTTTTTATAAGCAAATTCTGAATCTAATAATATCAATGGAATGCGTCAGTCCGAAGAATTTATGACGTAAGTTGTCAAACAAAACAGGTCACGCCCTGAAAAATATTTAACTTAAAAAAAATGGGCGGAAAAGCTTAAAAAGGTAGCAACTTTTTCACATCCATCGATAGGACTTTGTCATAATCGAAAAAGGTCTTTTCGTTCGATGTGAACTCCCTTAGACCATGACTATTTCACATCCAGTGAAAGAACCTTCTTCATAATCGAAAAGGTCCTTTCGTTCACTGGACGTGAACTCCATTAGACCACAATGATAACTATTTTACATCCATTGAAACTGAGTAAAGGACATCGAAAGGACCTTTTTCATGATCCAATAGGTCCTTTCACTGGATGTGAAATAGTCATGGTCTAACGGAATTCCCATCCAGTGAAAGGACCTTTTTCATAATCGAAAACT